CTGATTGTTTATAGTTCATAATGCATGATCAAAACTGAAAGTTTCTGTGATGACTGCCCTGGTACTGTTCACCATGTAAGAACTTATTCACTATGTAAGAACTTGTTCACCATGTAAGAACTTGTTCGTTATGCTTCAGAAGATTGGAGACTGATGAGAATTAGGCTTGGGGTGGATTAATGATTGTACATTGAGCATTGAGTCCCCTATACAGAATTTTATTGTTACCAACCATTTGATCAATAAATATGAGAGATGCCCTCTCAAAATAAAAATAACAGTAAAAATCTCATTACGTGTTATTATGAAATATTTTTATGAAAAATAATTGTCTTCTCCAAAACAAAAAGCACTTAGTGAGATATGCATGCTGGTATTCCACATTTTTAAAAATCTCTGTCCTGTCTGACTGAATAGAAGGCAGCTGGCTGCTGCATCTGCTATTGCATGCAGCCTGCTACAAACCGTGTGTCTTGAAGCAGGTGAAAATTCCACTGTACGTTGTTGCGAGAAGAACAGTGGAAAGGGCCGATAAGGTCCTAGCAGAATCGTGAAAATGGTTTTGATCTTGCAGACTCTGAGAGGTCTCCTGGACCACACTTTGAGAACCACTTGGTCCACTAAGGCAAGGAAGAGAGCAGAGAGAAATGAGCATGTTTTCATGTTTTCACCCAACTTGCATTCACCAAAGAAATAACGAGAAAGACTAAATAAAGATCAGATTTGCTCTCTTGATCCAAATCTCCAGTCTTTTTAAATTAAAACAACACCTAACCACTACTGGGCACTGATTCTGTCTACCCATCATGCAAAGTGCTGAAACACCAGCTCAGTTACCACTCCCTCAAACCAAATGGCTGGGAACCATTATGATCAATCACCCCATTATACAGATTCAGAGACACAGACAGATTACAATTCTGGGTCTTATTTTGGGGATTTTTTTTCTGCATTTTTTTTCAGTTGTATTGATATATAATTGACATACGGCACTGCATAAGTTTAAGGTGTACAGCATAATGACTTGTCTTACATATATTGCAAAATGATTACCATAAGTTTAGTCAACCTCTGTCAAATCATATAGACACGGGGGAAAAAAGAAAAAGGAAAGAAAAAAACGTTTCCTTTGTGATGAACACTTTAAGGATCCACTCTCTTAGCAGCTCTCAAATATGCCACACAGCTGTGTTAACTATAGCTATCGTATGGTACATTTCATCTCTAGTACTGATCTGTCTTGTAACTGAAAGTGTGTACCTTTTGACTGCCTCCACCCAGTTCCTTTACCCTCCACTCTGGTAACCACAAATCTGATCTCTTTTTCTAGGAGCTGTTTTTTTTTTTTAATTCCACATGTAAGTGAGATCATACAGTATTTGTCAATTTGTTTTATATAGAGGTGGAGACTTGAATTCACCTTCAGGGGCAAACAGTTGCTTTGTTTTAGGGACATAGCAAGGAGACTTGTAGCAGCAAAAGGGTAAAGCAGAAATCTTTTATTGAAAGAAGAGAGCTGCTTCTGTGAAGATGAAGTTGCTTCAGGAGAAACTGAAGTGAGAAAAGGAGGGAGGGGCCACCTGTCCAGCCCTGGGATGGGGTTTGCTCTCTCTGAGACACAGTAGTGACTGTCAGAAGACCCCTTCCTGGGTGGCTAGGTGAGACTGTGGACATGCACATTGCTACTTCAGGCCCCAGTCCCTGTCCACTCAGAGGAGGGGCTCCTGGGGCAGACACTGAAGTTCCTTCCTCAACCACCTTCCCCTCACTGTCCTTTGCTGAGTCTCTGTGTGCCAAGTGCTCACTTCCCAGCCTCTCTTGCACTAAGGGAAGCTAGGTAATCCAGTTCTGGCCAATGAAATAGAAGGGGAAATCTGCAACTGGGAGAAGAAGGGAAGAGGAAACAGTTCTAGGACTGATTTCCTTTCTGGTTAACAGGGAGGCTCATGAGTAGAGCTTTCTTCCCTGAAAACTTTCTTTCCCACATTTGGAGACTATAAAGTGAAGACTTGATGCTTGGTGCTGTGGCAACCATCTTGTACCATGAGGTGCCAGACTGAGTATGGCAGAGGGGGAGCCCTCCAGGGACAAGAGGCTTATCTGTGTTGTTGTCTGACCTTGCAACAAATGACACTAGTTTAGCCACTAGTTAAGAGAAATTGCCTGGGCTAGACCCTAGTTATGGGCCAGTAATTAATCTCTCTGGGCCTTAGTGTCTCCATCTGTAACATGGGGTGAATAATAGTAGCTGGCCTAGAGGATTGCTGGGAAGAGTAAATACTTTAAAGAATATAAAGCTATAAAGCACTTAGAACAGGACCTGGCACACAGTAAGCACTAATTTATCATAAGTTATCATCATGATAATTATTATCCATAGGTCCTTGAACTTTTGTGGGGGGAATGCACCTGCCACTCAATAGTCTCCTTCATTTTCACCTCTTTGCTTCCCAAAGTAGCATTACTCAAAGCTAAACAGATATCATAGTCCCTCTCTGTAAAATAAACCAGGAAAGGGAATATAACTGTAATTGTAATATTAAGCAACTCACCCTAAGGGCTTTTCACGTGCCAGACTCTACGTGAAGCACTTTACATATATTATGTGCTTAATCTTCACAACCACCCCCAATAGGCAGGTACTAACTACTAAAATTATCTCCATTTTGCATAGGAGGAAACAGGCTTAGAAAGGTGAACTTGCCCACGTTTACAAAGTTGGAGGGAAAGAAAAGGATCCTGGCGGCAGTTCCCCAGATACCGCCAGGCGGCAGTGCCCATCCATTTTCCAATTCCGCAGTCTGGCGGGAACATTGAGCAGCGATTGTCCCGCAAATATTTAATGATCTGCCTACCATGTGCCAGGCTCTGTTCTAGGCGCTGAAGATACGTCGGCAAATAAAACAGGAAAGATTGTCTGCCGTTCCCTTCCATTTTTCCTTAAGAATAATAAGAGGTATTTGCGGCGATGCATACTTGGCCTGACCCGGAGAAAATAGGCTTGCCTGGGTGGCAACTGGGAGGCCAGAGGCTGACAGGAAGAGATGAGGGTATCTGAAATATTTGTGGTCCCCAAAACTCAGGGCATGCAACTACCCCTAGAAGGGAGTGTTATTCTGCAATCCGCCCTCCTGCTTCCCCATCCCATCTCCACCCCCGACCTCCACCGCAGAGAGGTGGGGAACAAGGGGTCATCTCTCGTTTCCTGTAGGACCGGAATGGAGGGCGCGGGTCTCACCCTGAGAAACCGGACAGGTTACTCCTCAAAATCAGAGAGTGGTTTTTGGCGGGGAAGGGAGGGACCCGAGGAAGCTGGTCTGAAGGTGTCCCAGGTGGAACCAGCCCCGTGGGAGTGCTGGCGCGCAACTGCCGACCTGGGAGAGCAGGGTGGACAAGGAGCCAGACTCTGCCTAGGTAGCTGTGCGGCTGCCCTGACCCTTCCCGCGCTCCCGCAGCCGCCTGGTGGGCGCATATCCCAGCTGTGACCTGAGCGTCTGCGGAGAGCAAGGCCAGTGGTCCCCGGCCACTGACTGTGCGCCCGGGAGAGTAGCGGACGTGTGTACGTGGGTGATGTCGTGGGGCGTTGGTAGACTGCGTATGGACCCACGTGAGGGGTGCACTGAGTGGACGTGTGAGTTGTGTTTGGAGTGGGAAGGACGTGGGTGCGGAGCTCAGTGTGCGCAAAGGGACAAGGACACTCGGGGCGGGCGGGAGCGGTGTGTGCCCAGGTGGGAAGGCCCTGCATTCCACCAGCTTAGAGGAGGCCAAACCGCTCGTGCGTCTTCGTGGTACACAGGGGCAGGGGCGTTGGTAATTTTGGAACGTGCTGCGGGACGGTGTGTGTGTCCTGGGCCGCGTGCGAGTGTGTTGTGGGGAAGTTACCTGTGTGGGGCCCGCGTTGGAGAGTGTCCTGAGCGGGAAAAAGCCCCTGCACCAGGACCCCCTTGAGAGTATCCGTCCGTGTGTGTTCCCGCAAACGGATCAATCTGGGGGTGCGTCCAGAGGGTCTGGACTGCTTGTGGGAGCACTGTCGATGTGGTGGGAGTGTCCCCGAAACTGGGACACGGGAGCGGGATCTTCCCAGGGCTTCGGGCCGGAAACTAGGAACCAGAGGCTGTGAGTGCGCGCAATTAGCTCTGCGCCAAACGCTCCGTCGGCCGGAGCGGGGGCGGGACTGGAGGGGGCGGGGGCGGGGCGCGGCGGCTGCAGCGGCGGCAGCCGGGCCAGGGGGCGCCTCGCGCGGCGGCGGCTTTCCACCGTGATGCAGTGAGGCCGGGCCGGCAGGCGGGCGCGCGCGGGGCGGGGGCCGCTGCCGCGCTGCGGAGATGTGACTCGGGCCGCGGGCCAGCGGGAGCGTCGGCGCTGCGAGGCCGCGGGGGTCGGTGAGTTAGAGTCGCGCCGATGGGGTGGAAAGGGGCCGCAGGGACCCCAGAAACTTTTCCCAGCGTATACTTGGGAGAACTGGGGAGTCTGCTTCTTGTGTTTTTTAGTACCCCAAGGGGTTAGTCTGCTGGGAGAAGTAGGGGATCCGGGTGGGGGGAACCACAGTGCAGAGGGAGGGGAGCCGCAGAGGGCGGGCGCGGGCGGTGGTTGGGGACCGTGGAGTCGGGGGAGCTGTTACCCGGACCAGATGGAGCTCCAAGTCTCTGAGAAGGGTCTGGGGGCGACCACAGATGAAGGGCAGCTGGGAATGGAGTAAAGGAGTCCAGCCGTGCCCAAGGACTCGTCGTGTGAGGGGAGCCGCGGGCAGGTCTGGGGGCCGCATGGCAACCGGTGGGGGCTGACAACAGACAGGGCAGAGGAGCCGGGGCATAAGGGCAGGCTTTGGGGGTGAGCTGCCGCACCTGCCGCAGGCACCGGGGCCAAGCTCGGAGCCGACCGTGGCTGCCCACTATGGGACAAGGCGAACGGGGGTTGGGGGGACACTGCGGGCGACAAGCGGTAGAGCTGAGATCTGGGGCTGGGGAACAGATGAGGGGTGGCTGCACACAATGGCAGGGATTGGCGTTTCCTTTCCGCCCAGAGTCGTGGTGAGGACTAGCCCTGTGACGCGTTCCCTCTCCTGGAGAACATGGTTCCCAGCCCCGCGCGTCCTGGGATCCCTGCCGCCCGCACACGTCTCGGCCGGGGGCGCTGGTTAAGGAGCCAGAGAGCAGGGCACCGACCTTGCCACAGAGGACAGCCCCAGCGCAGCTCGCGGATTCATCCCCCCGCCTTTGCTCTGTCACGCCCAGGCCTGGTCAGCCTCCCCGCCCAACTTGTCCCATTTTGCTAAGGGGGCGGCTTCTCCGAGCGCGGACAAAGGCCCCTGGAGTGTGGCGGGCAGCGGCGTCCCTGTCTGGGGCCCCGGCCCACGCGCCACATTGGCTGCCAAACTGCGCCAGAATGGGGGGCACTTGAGCAGAGCCCAGGAGGAACTGGGGGTCCTCCCAAAGACGAGAGAAGTGGAGGGACCTGGCACGAAAGCCACAGTACTTCAGCCAAGGAACCTGGATTCAAAAGTCTCCGGGGTGGGGTGGAGGCGTTGGGAGGATTCAAACTTTGAGTTAAAACTGCGAGCGAATAGCATGTAAATAAAATGCAAATTGGCATCTGTAGTTGGGTGCCCTCCACTAAGCCAGTTTCGTATCTAGACTGTGGAATGAACATTTCTAATGCTCTAAGTCTCAGAAGGGGTCAGCCGAGTTGGGAAGGGAAAAGATGGAAGGGGTAAGGAGTTGCCATTTGGGGCACAAGCAGCAAGCAGTCTTTTTAGAAAGAGAAGCTAAAAAATATTCGTTGTATAATTTCTTATTTCAGTAGATGTGCCAGCCACAGAACTGGGTCTGGGGCTCTACCCTGCATAAAAAAATCGACAAGCCTCTTATTTCTCTGCTCTGGTGAAGTGGGTGAACCAATATTAAATTAAAAAACTAAATAGTTAAGTAGATACAATTTCCGATTGGGAAAGGGGCCTCCAGGAAAATAAAAGTGTGATGTCAAAGAAAGTGACAAGGCTATGTGTACATAAGGGAAGACTGTTCTGGGGAGTAACATTGTTGTGGAGCTCCGCGAGAAGGGGAGCCCACCACTGGGAGATCTCAGGGGGGAGAGACAACCAGGCAGAGGGCTCTGCAAGTGTAAAGGCTTGGAGGTGGGAATAAGCTTAGAGGAACTGAACAAAGGCCATTGTGGCTGGAGCTGTGAGGCAGATGTGGTGGGGAGACTAGAAAAGGGGATGGCAGCGACCAGCCAGGCCATCTTTGGGATCCCAGAAAGGAGTGCAGGTTTTATTCTCCTTGGGCCAGTGGACCCTTGAAGGCTTTGAGCCGGAAGCCACAGGATCTTATTTTTAATAGCTCCCCTGACCTCAACACTGAAACAGAAAGCAGCTCCCTATTTATTCTACCTCGGGAGTTGGTGGGGCTCTGGGAGTCTCTGAGCTCTGACCAACCTTGTGGCTCCACTCAAGGGATGGCTCAGCCTTTCTAATCCACTCCTTGCTTAGGGGCAGTTCTTGTCTACTCTAAACGGCACCCACCTGGATGACCCCCTAAATACTTGCAGAGCTCCCTGGAGGTCCTGAGTTAGTCACATTGTCTTCTTGGAATTACAGCCCAAGGGAAACCATCCACCCGGGAACAGGCAGCCGAGGATGTAATTTGCATTTAAATGATTGCTTTTATTTACAGGATTGTGGCTGCTTTGCATATTCATGGATCACGGAGCTTGTGCTCTGGCAACCCTATTTACTAACCTATGAGGGTTATTAAATTTGAAGGCCCCCAAATAGGACAATGGTCTGGGCAGCATTGAGAAATGAAGATTATGAGATACTGTAACTTGGAAAAGATATCAGAAGGAGAGATTGTGCGTCTGGTAAAGAATTTAAAGTCAGGAAACCTTGTAACAGTTTAATCTCTCCTAGCAGGAAATGCACCAGCAGTTTGGGAGTGGGCTAGGACAGAGTGTAATGCTGGGGTGTGTGGGGAGACTGGCTTTGCAACCTCATCTGAGCCTCTGCCAAATGTGGGGGGTTGGGGGCTCACAGTAGAAAAGGCCTTGGGGTCAGGAGTTGGGAGTGACAGCTTCTAGTTTGAGCCTGGCCCATAAATTCCAGGAAACCTCTGGCTAAACTGCCTTACCCTCTCTACCTTCATTTTCCCAGTGAGACAATGGGGATCATGATTGTCTTTTTCATAAGCAGAGACCTTGTACTCTCCGCATGCTGGGCACCATGCTTAGTACTTTTGGTGTTCTTTTCACACCAGCCTTGTGAAGGCAACACTATCATTATCTTCATTTTACAGACAATGAGATTGAGGGTCGGACATTAAGTAACGTCCACTGTCACATAGTTCTGTCTGACTTCCTGCCACCGATGGCTTCCACGCTAGAGGAAACTGATGGGAGTGTAAATTCATCTGGGTACCCGAACTACTAAATATGCCCTTGACTTGGAAAGTCTTTCCCTTTTCCCACCTGTTCATTTTTTCTTTCCCTTCTACCTCTTCCACCCCTGCCCCATCTTTAGAGAAAGTGGGTTTAAGATGCTTCCAAGTTTCAGGGTGCTAGGAGGGGATGTCGGGGTGGAGGACCAGTGGCCTCCTTGGAGCCCTGCTGGTTGCAGCTAAGGCGAGGCAGCTCAGCATGGCATGTTTCAGAGAGATTTTATACATCCTGTATCTCCTTTCATATGAGTGGGTGGGAAGGTGGGGATGCTGGTTCCCAAGAGAATAGGTGTCTGGTCTAAGAGACATCGGTGTCGAGGCACCCAGCCTGGCCTCGGGTCCTCTAGCTCCCACCTTCACAGTGAGGCTCCCACTCAGAGCACCTACTGTGGGAAAAAGAATTTAGGGGTTCCCAGGGCAGACCACCCCCCAAAGCAATTCTACACATCCACTCAGGGACATCTTTGCTTGGTGTGTGATGGGGGAGACTGGAAACCAGTGGTGGACAAATACGTGGGGGAGCCCCCTTCCAACCCCATCTCCATGGCAACCACCCCTCATGGAAAAGCAGTCAGAAAAGTTCATAACCCTGGGCAAGGGAGCATTTGCCAAGGTTTTCTATATTTAACAGACACTTTATGTAAGTGCTTCCCCTATGTTAACTACTGTCCTAAAACTTTCTCACCCTGCCCCACATGATGGGTACTGTTATCACCTGTATTTTGCAGATGAGGAAACTGAGGCAAGAAAGGTTCGATCAGCTGCCCAGGGTCACAGGGCGCCAGCAAATGGCAGGGGCAGGATTTGAAACCGGAAGGTCTCACTCAGAAGTTCACGCGACTGGATGAGGAGCAGGGCCGGGAGAACCAGTGGTGTGTGTGGCCTTCAGGCAGGCGCTGCCGTGCTTCTCACACAAGGAGTCTTGCCTGCATCCTTTCCAGCCTCTGCAGGCCCCAGCTCATGGAGAAATGGAGAAATGGAGCATGCTGCTCCACCACCTGCCAGAGGCTTCTGGCCCCTCTGTGGGGTGGGGGAGAGAGAGAGAGAGAAAGAGAGAAAGAGAAAGAGAAAGAGATGGAATGTGTATGTGTACACTTAAGAGCCTCTGAATGAGTCACATTTCTGGGAGCCCGGCTGGCAGCAAAGGTAATTAGTATGTGAACCGGGTCTCGCACATTCGTTCACATTCATTTGTTATTCCTTTTGAGGAGCTGAGTGCCTTCATCCTATGGGTTTGCTGCCATATATTCATCCCATCCCAGTCAGCCTCAGCTAGTGGCTGACTCAGAACCTCTAATCTGGTTTTGCTCAGGTTGGGATTCCTGGAGAAATGCTCCACTGTCGGTGCTGAGGCAGCGGGTGGCTAATGCTGCCGGGTGGGGCTCACCTGACGGGGGTGCAGGGGTGCTCCAGTGGGAGCCCTCACTTGGCGGTGGGTAGGGGCAGGGAGGCGGAAGGTGCCGGGGCCGTGGGTCCTGGCTCCCCTGCTGTGTATGTCCACCTTCAAACCTTGGTGTGCATGGGCGTCAGCGCCCACGTGGGGCTTGTTGTAGTGCTTGTAGCAATATGGGTGGCTGCAGGTCTAACAAGCTCCCAGGCCATACTGCTGCTGGTGTCAGTCCAAGTATCAAACTTTGATTCAGCCCTCTCAGGCTCTCAGTTTTCTCCTCTATAAGATGGCAATGAGACCAATGAGACCCTCTGCCCTGCCCAGGTGATGTGAGGTTGGGCACCACATTTATTAATTCATTCATTCAGCAGGTGGGCAGTGAGCCCTGCCCATGTGCTGGGCACGGAATCAGTGCAGAACAAGACAGACGAGGGCCTGAGCATGGGGTCCAGGTGGGGGTGGACAGACCAAAAGGGTAATAAAATATTTGAAAATTGTAGTACATGCTACAATAACAAAGAACAAAAGTACTGCCATAAAGCATAATGGGGGCAGGGAGAGCCTAATTTAGATAGACTGGCCAGCATGCACTCACGGGGTCACATTTCCAGAGCTCTGGTCTGTAGTAAAAGCCCAGTAACAATAGTATAATTGTTGGTCTCCTGGCTCCCCTGCTCTTTAGCTGTGTGACCTTGGACAAGCCAGCTGACCTCCCTGTTTTATTTCTTGTAAAATGGAGATAGTAATAGTGCTTGCCTTGTGCAGATTATAAAGCATAAATATACGTGACTTGCAGAGAAGGGTGTCTGGAGCATAGTAAGCCCCGTGAGTTAAGTTATTGTCATCACTATGGCAGGAACAGAAAATTCTCCAGGGCAGTTCTGCACCCCCAGGAATCCTAGGAGAGCCAGACTCAGCTTCAGTCTGTGAGGTGGTGTGTGGCCCTCCTTCTGATCATCCTGGACATCGTTCTGTAGACTCGGGTGGCTATCACGTCAGGGGCAGCCTTATCAATAATGACCCATTTGAGACAGCTGGACCCCACTAAAGCCCCGGGCTGCCATCATTTGCATCCATATGTCTAGATGTTGGGTAGAGAGGACTTCCTAGAAGAAACGGGCGACATTATGTGGGAAGAATAATAGAACTAATCTGTTAGCAAGTGACACAAATCCAGGTGAAACTGGCTTTACCCAGAAAGGGGAAGTTAATTGGCTGCTGGAGCTTCAAAGACCAGTGCATCTGGCTTCAGGCATAGCTGGGTCCAGCCATTCACTGTATCAGCTTTACTGTGGAGCAGGTTCTCTCCCTGCAATGGTAAATGTGTTCCCTCCAGCCCCAGGTCTATATCCTTCTAGCATATCAACCCCAGCAGTAAGAGAGGATCTCTTCCCAGTTAATTCTAGCACATATCCTAAGGCTGATTCTCAAGGGTCTGGTCTGGGCCATGTGCTTGTTCACAAACCAAT